GGTGCTTAGAATATAGATTTCAGAAACGAAAGAAGAACAAGATATTCTGGATAAGTTTAAAATTAATCTGAATGTGTTATATAAACCAGGACTAGGGGTGACATGATAGCAGTGTTCCAATATCTCAGGGGCTGCCACAAAAAAGAGGGAGTCAAGCTATTCTCCAAAGCACCTGAAGGCAGGACAAGAAGCAACGGATGGAAACTAAGCAAGGAGAGAAGCAACCTAGAACTAAGGAGAAACTCCCTGACAGTTAGAACAATTAACCAGTGGAACAACCTGCCTCCAGAAGGGTGAATGCTCCAACCCTGGAAGTTTTTAAGAAGAGACTGAACAACTATTTGTCTGAAATGGTATAGGGTTTCCTGCCTGAGCAGGGGGTTGGACTAGAAGACCTCCAAGATCCCTTCCAATTCTATTATTGTTATTGTTATTGTTAAATGTGGCAAGTAATGAGAAGGATGCAGAAAATGTACTGGACTTTCAAATGAAGCAGATTGATGCTGCAATGTTTAAAGGAGATATATAACTATCAAACCAGAAAAGAGTTATTATCAGTAATTTTCTTTACTGGAAATCTGCTAAAGTATTCAAGAAATTTTTGAGAAGTTCACAAAAAAAAGAACAAATGCATTTTACTGAATCTATAAAGCAGACTTGGTAAATTCTATTTGGGGTGGTGGTGGTGGTGGTGGGGAGGATTAAAGAAAAAATGCCAGGAAATAGGGATGTCTGGATGTCTGTGGGTATTTGTCATAGATTTTAATGAAATTGTTAGCTTGGCTATTGGGATAATATATGTTATTCAAGAATAATTAAGTGAAAAACAATAAAAATGCTTTATATTAACTGTAAGGATGTATAGGTAAATAAAAACCCACCCATCCCAAAACACAAGTAAATTTATAGTGAATTCTAATTAATTTAGTCTTTAAAATATCTATTGTCCAGACTACTAAAAAATCTGTATAGTATTTCAGAAATAATGAGGAAAAGGTGCTTCACAATCTGGAGAAACATACATGCAGAATGTGTTGATGATCATTTAAAGTACTTGAATTTTGTTCAAAGATCACATGCTCTAAGAACAGCTGCACCATTTTGGAAAAGATACTGCTACTTTAAAGAGTTAAGACACAGGTACTACATCTTTGACACCTCTAAAGCAGGGGTGTCAAACTGCCGGCCCGCGGGCCGGATGTGTCACGCTAAAACTGTGCCCATCCCATTGCCGGCAATGGGGGAAAATCGCAATATGTCGCAACACGTCACGTGATGTTGCAAGTTTGACACCCATGCTCTAAAGAACATTTTTGGGGATTTTTTTTGTATCTGTTCTTTTCTATATCATTCTATATCATTTCTTTGAGGGAATATTCAAGTAACATGTTGTAGAGGAAGGTGCAGTCTGCTCAATTGGTTATCCCACTTTAATTTTGTGCAACATGGGTCAAATTTTAATGAGTACCAAAAGTATGCAAGTCAGCAGTGATTGTTGTTTTTCCCCCAGACCTCGGTGCTATAAAATACAAATGATTAGTCAATTTTTAAAAAAGTATTTCATAAGGTAAGGTATATAAATAAATATGTGAAGTCCAAACTTTCCACTGTGATTCACCAAAACTGCATGTTTTGAATTCATACTTGTCTGCCCTATTCCTGGAATATATATTATTCAGCATTAGTTGGAAAAATGAGGAACCAACTAGACAAGAAAGCTGAATTGGAAAAAGTGAGCTAAAATGTCTCATGAAGCAGCAAACTAAGTTATTGCAAAGAATTCCTAGTCTAGTTTTTTTCAAAATTACCTTGTCCTTGTCGTTAACAAAAAAGCATGTTTTCTTCTGAATATCAGTTGAGCAAAACAATTCTAACAGTTTATGAAAGTCCACCCTCCTTTGAAGAAACGTTATTTTAGGATCTAATATTCATCAACAATCTCACATTGTCAAGACACCAAGTGATAGAACATCTGATAATTCCTCAAAGGTTCTCCTTATTTATCTGTACAAACTTTTTTTGTGAGACCACAAAATACGTGTACTGATGACCATAATACATTTTGATTGATTTTGTACTGATGTCAAAACAAAATAAATCAGCACAGGGGATTACATGAAGATCTACAGACTTTGAGACAGAGAAGGAAAATCTTATATTAGAATTGTTCAAAACAATATTTATTTAACCAAGTTGTGAATCTTGAATGAAATTGAATATTCTGAAATTCTGATTTGCTATAAATAAGCTATGTAATAATTTTAACTGAAGATAATGAACACATCAAATATCATAGCCAATTGACTTGCAAACTATGAAACTGGACAACACCCTCCCCCTAGACCAGATGCCTTTCCTGTTGAGTAGTATAGAACTGTTGGAGCATACAGTGTTGGATATCTACAGATAATCATAGTTTAGCAACTACCTTGTTTAGCCACCATTCAGTTATGTCGATAATGAAAAAATAACTTTATGACCAATCCTCATTTTTATGACATTTGCAAAGTCTATAAAAGCAAAGAAAGCTGAAGTAAGATCATACGCTTAGTCAGTTTTGCTCACCGATCACGTTAATGACTGAGTTGACAGTCCCAACTGTGTTTGCTAAACAAATGTTAAAGCTGTAGTGGCACGTCACACTGAATAATTAGTTCATATATACAGTATCTTAGATAATCCTTAACAATTATGTGAAGTCACTAGCCAAGCTTGTTTATGTTATACAGTAAAATAGTTTATTTTCTGGCTATACATTAAGTCTAATTTCCTTTGGGGTGTACTATATCTACAGATTATTGTAGGAGATTAAGAATTACAATTTGTATAGTTCCTATAACATGCTTGTTTATCATAGTATGGTGAATTAAGTATGTCTAAATGAATAGATGTAATTTCACTGGATATAACTCAGTGGACAAAACTCTCATTCAATCTTAGGGATATAATTATTAAAATGAGTACATCGAGATGAATGTATATCGCAATAGGTATTCCAGTGTTAACTTGCATCAGATAGTTAAAAAATGTGAATTTTTAATAGCAGTTTAGGATTTATTTAAACTGCAGAGCACATTAACTAATAGGCAAGAAAAGCAAGAAGAAAATTCACAAATAGCTTAATACAAGTAGTCCTCACTTAATGACAATTCATTTAATGACCGAAATTACAATGGTGCTGAACGAAGGGATTTAAAACCTGTGCCCAACCTGTGCTTGTCAGCCTACCTGCACTTATGACTGGTTGCAGAGTTGTTGCAGCCCCCAGACCTGCCTATTCCACCCCCCTGTCTGTGCCTTGAAACATCAGGGAAGTTCCAATTGGCAGTATGAAGCAGCCAAGGCCCCCACTTATGAAGGGCTGAACATCCAGGAAAACATCCGCCTATGGGGAAGTTCCAAACGTCTGAGGGACGCCCAGGGTATACTGGGTTGCAAAGCAACTATTTCCCCATGAAGTGCCAAATGCCTGGGACGTGCCAGTACAACCACCCTCACCACCCTGCATTCCACACACCAGGTGACCTTCACCTTGGAGGTGAAGGTGAAAAGAAAAAGAAAGAGTTGGCCTCACTTTCTAAAGCAGGGGTGTCAAACTACTGGCCCCGCAGGCCGGATGCGTCATGGCGAAACCACGCCCATCCCATTGCCGGCAATGGAAAAAAAGTCATATGTCGCGACACGTCACGTGACATTGTGAGTTTGGCACCCCTGTTCTAAAGGCTCTGCAAAGAGCATAGCTCTCCTGAACAGAGCACCCTCAATTCCAACAGAAAACGTTTGGCTGCCTTTAACATTTCTTTTCTTTCTTCTTCACAAAGAGCCAGGCTGGGCACACCTCAGAAGCTCAATGTTTTTATGGAGAAATTTTGGCTTGACTTTCGTGGGTTCAAACCATCAAGCCCACATTCCTAGAGGAGACTGAAGCAGATTTGTGCCAGGCCCCCCAGGGACTCCCCCACCTCGTGCCACCATACACTCTGCTTAACGGACCAGTGCGGCTGATTAATGACAGCGCCTGAAAGCCAGGATACGGTCATAAAATTGAGCCAGGTCACATGGTGACCAGTTTAATGACAATGACTCACGACCAAAATTCCAGGTTCAATTGCGGTTGTAAGTCGATAATATATAAAATATTTCACATTTTATAGATTTTTTTAAAAAATAGATATTAAAGTTTTTGCTATTATTTTAATTGCCTTCCAAGAATATAGAACTATTTTAAATTAAACTGCTTTGAAAACGTTGATTAAAATGAAGAAAGTTTTATTATACACGTAGTATAATTTAGACAATAGTAATCAGAAGTTCTAACTGTATAGGACGACAGTCTTAGCTATGTAAACAACAACATAAAAATATTGCAGCTATTTATAAATGCATATTGTATTTTGAAGGCATCCCTAGTCTTAATCCTAGTCTTTGGCCAGCACAAATAACTGTAATGACTGTTAATTACTATTATGAATGATCCATTTCAATGTTGTCTGTTTTTTAAATGGCACATGGAACATCACAGGTGGATGAGAATGATAAAATGATGAAAATGGAGAATGTGACTTCTTGCTTAATTGATTTTCTATTTTTGCATTGTCTACTTGAGTTCTTTAAATATGCCTTCAATATTTAATTTCTTTTGAAATTGATATGAAGGAAAATACAAAGTATTTAAAAGTTTAAAAAGACCACCTGAGAAAAATGCACACATAAAATTAGGAGAAATGATGCAAGGTTACCAAGGCAGAAATCACACCTACTTCAATGAAGTAAGTAAAAGACAGGTTTGAGATAGATAGATGATAGATAGATAGATAGATAGATAGATAGATAGATAGATAGATAGATAGATAGATAGATAGATAGATAGATAGATAACAAGGGGATTGTAGCCAGTTTTAGTTATCACTGTAGAGATAAATTACTTCTTGGTATATATAAGAACCCCAAGGCATCAGGTAAATACCATTTCATAAAAAAGGAAAAAGCACTGTACTCACTTATTAAAAAGGTTCAGTCCAATTCTATAATGACGTTTCCTGATGATATCATTACTGAAGGCAGGGGAATCCCAACTATTACGAGTTTCTTTGTGGTATGTTTGCTTGCTCAAAGTTTGTTCCCTTAAGCTGTCTCGAGAAGATGATTCTGAACTGCAATTTATTGTGTCGTTAGAATTGGAAGTGCTGTTGATGCTATCATTATCTCCATCAGAATAATCAGATTCAGATTTGCTTTGCCTGTTTGCTGTACCATTAATAGCCAAGTGGCTATCAATAGGCCTAGGTCTATGCCTAGTTTCTGGATCTTCTCGAGATATTACTTTGCTAGGGAGGCCATGTGATATGTGCTTTGGGCTACCTTGCTGACTACTAATTCCACGATCATATGCATTTTGCCTCTTCAGTGATCCTCTTTCAGAACGGTCACTTAAATCAACTGAACTGTCACTTGGTGGTTCTATTGTTAGCAAAGGAAGATGATCCATCCTCATTCTCTGTTCTTGGGATTCCAATGAAGGGGTACTCCTACAACTTGTGTCAGTGTCTATTTTATGGTCTTTATGTGTCATAGACCAGTATTCTTGAGAAGGGTTTATTGATCTAAGTCTCAAGTCAGACTCTGTGCTCGATGGTCTTTCAACAGGATGAGAAAGGGGAAGCGGTGGGGATAACTCTTCCTCATCAATATATAATGTAACGTCACTATAGGAAGCAGTCATTTCATCAAGTTTCCTATGATCAACATTATGGCTTGCTGATTTAGTTGGACCACAACTATCTCTTTCTATTTCACGACTTCTAACTTGGTCAGGTATCTGTACCTCATCAGAGTGTAAACTACGACAGTTTAATGCATCATCAATGGATTCTGCAAGAGATTTTACTTGTCTTGAAAAAGCATCCTCCAATTCTGTTATGGCATCAGCAAAGTCTGTGGAAGCTGCTGGAGATTTCATATTAGTCGATTCAGCAAGATCATTACATCCAGACTGGACAAGGGCTCCTATTTTTGATCCATCATTTGTAACAGAAACTTGCTTCCCCTCAAAGTAGGAACTGTGAACTTTCTCAGGTCCTTCAAATGAAAACTGCATTCTCATATTGGATAGTACAATGCGTCTTGACATACGATTTTCAGACATAGAACTTCTGAGCCGCTCAAAGTTTTTGTTCATCTGATACTGGCGGAAAGCAGTCTGTATAGTACGAGCAGCATGTCTAGTTATGAGACGGCCTCCATATTTTCGTTCTAGCATTTCAACCTAAAAAGAAAATGTATTTTGTAATATGTAATCTCTAAAGCATGGGTTTCAAACTCAAATCATCATAAGGGCTGTATGAGGAGGAGTTCATTAACCTGAGAACTGCAACAGAGAAACCCTTTCATATATAATACAAAAGTCTCATGAGTCAGAAAGGGAGGGAATCATTATATAGGCCATTACCCACAAACTTATTAAATAAAAAGCTTCACTATGAAATCTTTTTTTTTTTACCATCTCACTTTGGCCACCTATATGGCATTGCTTTTTAAATTACCAGATCACCATTATTTCATGAATAACAACATAAATCCTCTGATCTGAATCCTATCATCTGAAACCTGAATGTAATCCCCTTAAGAAGAAGCAACTACGCCTGAAAATCATTTCCAATTCTGCCAAGAAACAGATATTGGCAGCTGTCTGATGAAAAAAAATGTTTTGTTTTCAATTTGGTATGTGTCACTCTTTCTTGAGGTTATAATTCCTGCAACTGTAGCTTATTTTCTGATTATTTTTAATGAGATGCAGGCTAAAAAATGATCAAATGCATTCTGTTACAGAAAAAAAAAGAAAACCAATTGCTATTTGGTATTCTCCACTTATAATTACTTGGAAAGCAGGAACTTTTGAGGTTCCCAATCAGTTCAGCCTATGGTGCCTCTCCCTTATAAGGCTGTTGCAAATGGAAAATAGTGACCTTGAAGTATAAAGAGACTTTTGGGGTAACTTGCACTTTCCACGGTGCAATAGTACCAGGAAGGCTATATACCAGTGCTATATATATGTGTGTCGCTAGTTCCTTGGACCAATGGTAAGGAATATTTTGGAAGCTGAAGAGACGGTATCTGATTCTTCCCTGCATCTCCAAATGGCAGAGTGCTGTGGCAGAGCCCATACCAGAAGCCCATACTTGTTCCTGCGGCTTGACCAGGGATGATGATGGCTCACCCTCCTATTGTTAGGAGCTCCCTTCCTGGCCCAGTTTCTGAGGGATAGGACACTACTTTTGTTTTTCCCTCTGCCTTCCTTTCCCAAAGCAAGCATTGTCTTACAACTTAACAGCTGTAGCATACAAAGCTCTAAGTAACAGTGATTATTGCTTTCCCTCTGTTTTCCACCTGAGATGAGCAATACTGCTGAAAAGACTTTAAAAGCAGTGGGAAGCAAGGAGATTCTGGCTTTTTCTCCTCTCCTTTCCAGCAGTGCAACAACTCCTTGTTATTAGCAATATTTCCCTCCTGGAAGCTACTCTGCAACCATGTTCGCCAAGGAGCTAGGGAACAGCTGGGTAGGTGAAGTAGCTGGAATCACTCAGGTCTTCCTTTTGCACCACAGTCATTAGCTGTGTTATGAGAGGAAGTTCAGAAAACAGAGAAGAGGAGGGAAAAGCAATGATATGGCATCTTTCAGCAAACTCCAGAGAAAGCAGGTGCTTCCAGACAGGGAGGGCAAAATACCCTGGGTCAGGAATAAAGATGCTTTCTTAGTGCTACTCTGCCAGCTGTAAACTGGGAGGTTTCAAGTCAAAACTATTACAATACCTTGATGTTGTTTGAAGTTACAACAGCACTGAAAAAAGTGACTTATGACTGATCTTTGGACATATGACCATCACAGCTTCCCTATAGTCACGTTATTAGAATTTGGGCAATGGAAACCAGCACGACTTTATGATGGTTACATCTTGAGGTCACATGGTTGCCATTTTCAACCTTCCCAGCTGGCTTCCAATAAGCAAAGTGAACGGGAAAAGCCAGATTTGCTCAACAAACATGTGATTCATTTAACAACTGCAGTGATTTGCTTAGCAACTGGGGCAAAAAGCACGACTCACTTAACAATCACCTTGCTTAGCCACAGATATTCGGGTTATAATTGTGGTTGCAAATCAAGGACTATCTATACACAAAAATGCTTAAATTCTAGAGGCTCATGAAAAAAAAAATCTCAAGAAACCTGACAATTAGCACATTTCTTTTTTTAGTTTGATTAATACAGCAGTACAGCTCAAATACCTGTTTATCCTGCAAGTCAGATGAAAGTTCATAGCTTTCTGAAAGGGACCGTGACCTTTTAATAGCTTCTTCTTCTGCTTGTTTTCTTAATATGGAGGTTGAGTGCTGAAGCTTCGGCCTCCGGGGCCTTTGCTGTCCAGGGGAGACAGAATATAGACCATATGGAGAATGGTCATAATGATCTGGACTTAGAGCTGAACTGTGAGTTATAGTTCCTTGATGATAAGCAGATGAACTATCCAGGGATGCGCCAGTTTCATTTCCAGGAGCTTCACCCTCAACACTGAAAAAAAAAGGAGAGTAAAATGCAACATGGTTAAGATGTATAGTATAGTATAGCTTTTTACTGCTGCAACTCCATATATAATAAATGCTGGCTTATTAGTTTGACTGATTGATTTCTATAGACGCCCATCTTAGCAAACGATTCTGGGCGGCTCACAATTAAACTATTAATTAAGTATGAACTATTAATCATGTCTAAAATATTCACTTTCAGATACACATTTTATGAAGCTAGAAATGATCATGTTTGCAAATTTCTGGCACTTTTTCTCAAATATTTGGTTTGTTTGTAATGTAATACAATGCAACATAGATAAAATGCAGATTTAGACATTTTAAGCATTACTATCATTTCCTTGGCAACTCTAAACTTTGCTTCATGTAATTTTTAAAAGGAATCTCTAAAAATATCTATGTGATGTACTGTATGTATATTATGTATGTATATTAGCAATAAAAGCAGTAAACTAATTAATCATTTCTGGAATTAGCTTAATGAAACTATGGGAACCAGTATCCAGTAATATAAGAGAGCAAAGTTGTGCCTGTTGCAATCCTAGAACAGTGGTGGCAAACCTATGGCACGGGTGCCAGAGGTGGCACTTGGAGCCCTCTCTGTGGGCACATGTACCATTGCCCCAGCCTCGCCTCCCCCACGACCCCCTCCTCACCAGCAGCCCTCCTAGAGAAGAGTCACCCCAGAGTGTGGCCCACACAGAGCAATGCAGCCAAGGTCATGGCAGCCAGGCAGCGTAGACAAGACTCTGCCCTCATGCCCCATCGCGCACAGTTGATGCTGCGGGGCGTGGGCAGAGGGCGTGGCTGCCATGGCGCTGCTGGGCGATCTGCAGCGGACCCTGGAGGCGGTGAGTGGCCCTGTGGGCAGGCGGGGTGGGGATGGGGTGGGGGCGGGGCAGAGGGTGGAGTGGGGCGGGGCCAGTTTTTGGGCACTCGGTCTCTAAAAGGTTCACCATCACTGTCCTAGAAGAAATTCAGCTTTTCCCATAAAACACAATAAACGGTCCATCAAATTTTGCAGATCTGACACCAAAACATCTATTATGCAATAAATTATTTGTAGATACCAATATGTTATGAGATTTGGGATTTCTCATGAAAGATCAAGCATGATTTTAATAATCAGTGTTGAGGTTTCAATAAATGTTGCAGGAGAAGCGAAATACTCCAACTCATGCAATAATATAATGAATTATACATTACAGAAACATGAATATTGCACAGGTTTCAAACTAATTATCTCATTTTAACTTTAATTAATTCTCCATTCCACTTTTATTTTCAGTCTTACCATTACAACTTTATAAAGTAAAAATAAGTATTCAAGTTGCTTCTTTCTTGCCAAAATATAAATAGTTCATAATGGCTCTAAAGTGCTTCATCAACAGGATTTAGAAACATGCCAAACCCACAAGAAAAACAAGTTCCTGCCAAATCTCTGTGGAGATGAATGAAGGAACACAGTAGCCAGCAAGAATAGAATTTATTTATTTAGTTATTCAATTTGTATAGCTACCCCTCTCACATATGTGATTCTGGGTAGCTCACAATAACTGAAAAAAAGAATAAATATAAAATAATGTATAAAAACATAAAAAAACAAGCATAACACCACATTAAAACCCCAATTAAAAACTAAAAACATAACCACAGTCAGCAAACAATACATCTCATGCACTATAACCACTGAAAATTCTCATGACTATCCTTGGACTCCACAAGCCTGGTGATGTAGTCATATCATCAGGCCCTTCTTAAAGGGCCCAGAAAGGCAGGACCCAATCTAAGTTCAAGGGGAATGAGGCTTCAAAGGACAGGGGCCACAGCAGGAATGGGCTTTCTTCCTGGGTCCCAAATGATGACATTCCTTAGTAGATGGGACCAGTAATATGCCTTTCTTGCCAGATCTGAATCCCATAAGTCACTGACCAAAGACCAGTAGTATATGAAGTGGGTTAATGTGGACCCTTGATTCTTATACAAGAGATAGCAATTTGGTAAACAAGCAGCCTTGAAAGACATTATAATCAATAGAACACGGGTGTCAAACTCGCCGTATCATGTGATGTGGCGTGACGTATCAACTTTTTTTGCGTTGCCGAAGCTGGGGTGGGTGCGGCATCCATATGATGCAACCGGCCCGTGGGCCGGCAGTTTGACACCCCTGCAATAGAATATTGTAATCTCTTTCTTTGCACACATTATGAAAAGTCCTGATTCTCTGGACAAGGCCTCTACTCCTGGGAAAATGGAAGGAAAGAGAAGAAGATGATCAACAGCAAGGTGGGTTGACTCAGTTATATTTGCAATGGTTGTATCTTTGGAAAACCCAAAATACCAGGTTAGGACAGATCATCATGGAGACAATATATTGATGTGATCATTAACTCTGTGACAGCAACTTGATGGCACATAATCAATCAAAAATCAAAAAAATCTCTTTGTCCATTTCCCAGTGAAAATTAGCATTGGTTTCCATCCAGAAGTAACCCAAAGCCAGGTTTAAAAGGGGCTTTATTTATTATAATTATTATCATCCAGTAAAACCATAAGAATTCAATCACCAAAACTGCTAACACCCTGTCTTCCTTAAAAGGATACACACACATACACACTTACCTCCAACACTGACATAGCTGCAAGCGTATACACATGACCAAAAGGAAAACTGGTATGAAACATTAAATTGTAGGAGATATATTTCTCTGTTCTGATTACACAAAATCATTAATATTTAAATAATAGCTGTTTAAAAGCAAACCTCACTTGCTATTCTAGCATGGGGTTTCAGAATGAATATGATCACCATAAATGTAGACTATAATAGCTAAATTATCTATTTTGTATAAGATAGATTTTTATTATTCACGTTTAAAAACAACTTCCTTCAAGTCAATAACAGAATTAATATGGATTAAAATGTCCGATAAAGTAAGTTGGGATTCATGTTTCAAGTGCTTATTAGACTTTTCATGGGAATCTAGATTTGACTTCCTGAGTAGGTTTCTTCAGCAAAAGTTTAATAAGTCAAAGGCTGAGTTCTCTCCACACACTAACCCAAAATGGAACGTATTGTAACTTATGATGTGTGACACTGTTCTATTTTCTCTCCAATTACTCCATGGCTTTTGAATTCCCTCAACTATAAATATTTATGAAATACTGAACAGTATTTTAAAAAAGTGCAAGCAGCTTTTTAATGTATCACTGATATTTTAATATGGTTTATATTTGATAATACCATATTGTTCTCTAAACATATCCTTAAATGCTATGATAAAAACCATAAATATACAGCAACCATTTAAAGTAACATGAGATCTATTTTGAATGCCTTTAAACTTAAATACACAGAGTAAAAAAATGAATGTAAATATAAAAGAAAAAAGGATTTGGGTGTCTATGAAAAACTGAGAGAATTAGCAAAGATACTTTGGAAGTGATGTAGACGGCCTGTTATAATAAAGCAGGTACGGGTAGTCCTCAACTTGGGACCACCATTGAGAACAGAATTTCCACTGCTAAGCAAAGTGAGTTGTTAAGTGAAGTGCATTCAATTTTATGACCTTTTTTGCCACGGTTGTTAAGTGAATCACTGCAGTTGTTAACAGAATCACATAGTCGTTATGGAAATCTGGCTTCCTCCATTCACTTCGTTTGTTGGAAGCTGGCAGGGCAGGTCACACATGGCAACAACGTGACTCCAGAATGGGGCAACTGTCCTAAATACATGCTGGCTGCCAAGAACCTAAATTTTGATCAGGTGACTGCAGGGATGTTATGATGGTCTTAAATGTGAGGACTGGTTGTAAGTCGCTTTTTTCAATGCCGTTGTAACTTTGAATAGTCAGTAAATGAATGGTTATAAGTTGAGAACTACTTGGAGTGCCAAAGAATATAAGTTATTGTTCTAGTAGTTGCATTTAAGCATATTCAGTGGTAACCTAGATAAGGAACGTTAAGGCAGTTATGAATGACGATCTGAATTCAAATCGCATTAGGACATTGGGCATAAACTGATGGGGACTGGGAACGGTTCTCATAAATATCGAATGTGTTACTTTTTGTATTTTTAAAAAGGCAGATCAAGAGAGCCGAAGTGAAATCACATTAGCTCTGAAAACGTCAATTAACACAGCAACAATGTTGTTAGCCTTACACCTTACACATGTAATCATGGACAAGGTGAAATTTCATGACTTATTCAATCCACGTGGAGGATGAGTGCAAGGTTATGAAATGTGTTTTACTTGAGAGATGCATCAACTTTTGGAAGATACTGAAAGGTCGTGTATAACTACCGAGTAACATTCAGATGGCAAAAATGCAGCACATTTTGTAAAATGTCAGTATTCACAGCCTATTCCATAAGAATGAGACCATTTGAGGCAAGGCTGTGGTTTAATCTCAGTTGGCAGAAATGGAGTCCAAGACTCCGAGCACTCTGCAAACAAACTATGGAAGAAAAAGCAAAATCTTCTAAATTCTTTATGTGCCAATATGTCTTGCTTACTAAAATGGGTTATACTATTCTTAATGTGATACTACTAATTAAAAACATGCTCAATCATCTAAATTTTACCCATGCAAGGTAAAAAATATTTTGAAAGAAAAATTGAACAAGGATCAAGAATATTCCTAAGTGAATTACAATATTTTTGCCAACTGTGCTTGCCAAAGTGAATTCTCTGAGTTGAACTCAATTCCTGGTGACTTCAGGAATATTCCCTTGTAGCTTTATTAGCAAGAATACTTAAATCCTTTTGGAAATACTTCCAAGACTTTTTCCCCCTACTTTCCAGGCTAGCCCACAGCTCAGGTAGTCTCCCACTCAACTGTGAGAGCCTTTCTTTTATTATTCGATACAGTGTGTCCATCATTTCCAATTATATATTTCACATAAACTGTTCTTTAGCCAGTTGAATCATGTACTCTGCTTAAGCATTTTTCACATAGCTAGAGAAAAAGTTTAA